ATACGGGCTCTTCCGACCATCTGAAAAGTTGCACTAACTGATATTGTAAATTATTTACGAAGCCACTTATAAAGCATCATTGGGGATAATAATAATAATAATAATAATAATAATAATAATAATAATAATAATAATAATAATAATAATAATAATAATAATAATAATAATAATAATAATAATAATAATAACAATAATAAAGAAATGAGAATATGGAGATATTAAAGCGATCAAGTTTTGTAACAACAAGAATATTAATAATAATAATAATAATAATAATAATAATAATAATAATAATAATAATAATAATAATAATAATAATAATAATAATTAATAATAATAATAATAATAATAATAGTAATAGTAATAATAATTTAAGAAAGAAGATGTTTATAAATTACAGTGATTACCAATTTTTAATAATAATAATAATAATAATAATAATAATAATAATAATAATAATAATAATAATAATAATAATAATAATAGTAATAATAATAATAATAATAATAATAATAATAATAATAATAATAATAATAATAATAATAATAATAAACCAAATTATTAAAGCAAAGAAGAAGAAGAAAAAGATGAAGATGAAGATGAAGATGAAGTCAAAGAAGAAGTAAAAGCCATGAAGAGATGCAGATAAATATAATTGAATATCTGCTAACTTACCAACAGTTCGGCGAAGAGAGACAAGGAATAATAGTATAAATAAATTCAACATTTTCCTCCAAGATGGGTATATCATACTGCAATACTGATGCCTCCAGATTTGTATCGGAGTTACTTTTCAGACTGTGTCAAAGATATATTGTATTTTCACTATTATTTTATTGGATACCAACAAGATTGATCTTATAATGCTATACACAATACATTTATACACAAAAAGAACGATTATCATTACGTAGAAACATTTGTATCTCTGCCCAAATTAACGAATATAAATACAAAACACAAATCAACATTTAAAAAATCCAAGACAATTGATACCCAAGAAGATAAAGGAATTCACCCTAATCAAATATAATATTTTGTTTCAAATTATTGATTATAAACAGTGTTAACAATGCGTGCGATCATGCCTCCGTAACTTTTTTCAACATGTTGGAGAATATACCAACTTGAATTATTATTTTCTCGAGCAATACCCGTTATCGAAATAGTTACACATTGCTTTATCTCAAAAGCTAGTGTTTCCTGGCAAGTAGTGATAAACAACTCCCAGATATAACTAAGTTTCCATACGCAAATTATTGCTGTTTCGCAATGACGGCAAGGTATTGGATATTCTTCCAAGCTGCGTTGTTAATATACAATTGCATACATATACACAAATCCGGCTTCTGTCAGAAGTAAATAATAATGTAACCAAAAGAAATGTCCAAATTTTGGTGGACAAATGTAATTCGTTTGCACACAGAAAACACCAGAAGTCATTCAACTCAGATAAACTCGTACTTACGTTAAAAGAGAACAGGAATCGTATAGCTTTGAAACTGGCACAGGGGTTCTTGCTTAGATAAAATATATAATGGAGGACATGCTTTCATGTAATTCTTGGCTCAGGTGTATTGTTATTGTATAATTACCTACTTGTGTTGTTACAAATATCAAACATACAAATTATTGTGCTCCTCGCGCTTATTATGTTTATATATCCTTACCAATGTTACATTTATGGATATTGTTGACATATCCATGCAACAGTTACATTTCTGAATACTACTGACATCTGGATATTGTTGACATATCCATGCAACAGTTACATTTCTGAATACTACTGACATCTGGATATTGTTGACATATCCATGCAACAGTTACATTTCTGAATACTACTGACATCTGGATATTGTTGAAATATCGTAACCACTGAAACCCATCTGGACAGTGCTGACATATAGCTACTAAAGTTGTCAGCCTGGATAAGGATAATGATGACATGTCTAACTTTACTTCAGATTCTTATTATCCCAGTCTCCGTCTGATTATGTTGACATAACACGGCTACTGTTGCCCACGTGGGTAATGATGATAAATACTTACCACAGCAAACACAACTAAGAACGGGTCCTATCTCATTTAAATCGGATAGTATAATATGTCAAGACGGCATAGTGGAAACTATTTAACCTGATTCCATGCAGAGTGTCGCTTGCAGATAATATTGATCATATGCTATTGAAAAGGACAGTTGATAAGACACCTATCCAGTTATGTATTATTTTCAATACATCCACCAAATCGGATTATTCCAAATTAATAGAAACTTTCTTAGGACATGCCAGTATTAAATAGAGGTGACATGGATTTTATCTTATATGTCGACTTGTCTCACTATTGATTTGAGGTTCAAATGTATCAATTATTTATATAATTGATTGGGTAAAAAATCTAGATAAATAAGAAAAAAAACATATATTTGTTCAGGATCTCAAAAATGTATAAATACATTTACAATGAAAAATGATAAAGCATGCGTCATATCTAAGTATTCTAACTGAAATAAACATATGACTAGTTTTTTTTAAATGACTAAGCTTTACTGCATCGCCGGAATAAAAGACTTATGTAAATATTTTGAAAAGCGAAAAACAAGCACACAATGCTTAATTGGAAATGGTGTGGTTTGGTTGAAATGACCCTGTCTTTTGCCGTCATTTAAAGTGATCCTTTTGATACGTCCAAAATCAAAGTTTATGCAGCTAGTCCACATGGTTATAGTTTACATACGTTGTCTTTTCTATTATCTTTATCTGATATCAATGATCAAAAAGATCAGTTATAAGTCAAGTAACATGAAACATCTGTATGATACCTTTATTTGAAATACTTGAATAACATATTTCGCACACTTAAAAACTTTTGAGCAACATATTTACATAGTTCGAATCATCAAAATCCCCCTGTAGCATTTTAGTCGATTTACTCTTGAAACACTGTATTTGGTATTATATATTTTGATCACCTTTCTGTTGGAAATGTTAATATTAAGGTACCTGTCGGACTGAATACCATCACCAGACTGTCAGTAGGGACACACTATAAAAAACAAAGATACTATTTAGAGTATATTTGATACGTTCTCATCGTTTCCTCCACAGTTAGTTTATGCAGCTACCTACACAAAGAAATCAGATAGGACATACATTAAGTGAACTTAAGTGAACCACCGATATAGCTTATAAGATGTTTGATACATAAACTTGGAATTAAAATACAGTTTTAGAGAGATCACCAAAAGTTACAAGATTTGTTTTATAAATTAATTGCTTGTAAATTGTACCATAACAAAGAATTAGTATAGAATGCTTACCGTGAATTCAAATTAACCACCTAGTTAAGAGTTTGAGCGGAATATATTTATTAGTGAGGGAAGGAAGATTCTGACCACTCAAGAAGCAGCAACAAGCAATGACATAAATTTTAAGACAAATAGTGTCCTGACAATAATAATTTGAAGAAAGCAAAGGAATCACAAGTTACATCAACTGATGTGAAGTCGTTATGTATACGTCCTTAACGAGGAGTAGAGATAAACAGAATTAAATGAAATAAAGCCATATTATCAAACATGCATATAAACAGAAACCAATTTAGATGTCTTATAAGGAAATTCATAAATAGTTACTCATCATATCTATTTAGACTTTTCACTCAAACGAATTAAAAAAATGTTGTTTATGTAGCATATACTATCACCTATGAATGCAGAGATAAAACGTTTGTATACCACTTCAAAAAAATAGCTGTTGGAAGTTCTAATGGCCTTTATAGCAATATGCATCTTATTGGACAATAGAACTACATTTACTTAGCCTAAAAGTACACTCATCGAGTTAATTTAATTAAAACAAGAAATAATGATTAATTTTCTGAACTTGTGGAGGGGAGGAAAATAGAGATATAATAATAACACGTTCATGATGGAAAAGAAAAGATCAAATAAAAGTTGTCGATACTTAGGAAGCAAACTAAAACTGTGGAGATGCCAACAATGTCAAATAATTGATGAGAAAAAAGGGACATGGAAAGATTTGGAATTTCACAGAAGAGAAGAGGAATCCTTGTGTTACACTGAAGACATTATACAATATTTAGGCAGAATGTGTTCGTTTTAAAAGCGTTTCATAACTGTCACTTATTTAATGCCTCACCTTGTCATTATAACTGCTAGTTAGTGATAGTAAATGATAACTTCCTACCAAATGTTCTCTTTCTATTCAGGTGGTACACTGTGACATATTGAAAGAAGTCCTAATGTCAAGTTAAAACCAGGGATTTCACGTTAGAATGTACAAACCCACCAGACTATACATTTGTATCATCATGTAATATTAAGTCAATTCTTGGAAAACATGTATCACATAGACTACAACAAACGTATGCAACTACCCGATCGCAGCATGGTACGGTACTGATACCGCACGTAAGTACATTAAAGGTGAGATGTCTAAGAAAATAATATAATGTTTGAACAGAGACTTTCATATGGAAAGATTATCTCTATACAGAAAAATATTGTACCCAGATGTCCTAAGATGAAGACGAATGTAATAATTTGATTGGTAAAAAGGTGGTGAGGTTGTCTGCAAAGTAACAGGACATCACAATATTTAAAATTGATGCAGTTAAATGCACTCAAAATGTATTCTTGCTAGCGCAAGCTGATTCATAATTATCGATAGAAGAATACACATTTCCCATGGTTTTACTTAGTTTTTTTTATTTGTTTAGTCAATTTAACATGTTCGAAGTTATAACAGGGTTCGTTTGCTAGGTTCAAGGAAACCAAGTACTGTTTCATTCTTGGTGTCAAAACTCAATGAATGGGATTATATACATTCAGCTTACTTTGAACATGCCTGGAGGTCTCTGATGTGTCAATAATTTCCTTTGGACCATGCATAGCAATATCTGCATGTCCACTTTAGTCGATGACAGGTGTCTTATTATAACGTTATGGCTGCGCGATGTCGTTACAGTAACGTTATACAGATTCAGTGGCTTAATGGTTAAAGCGTCCTCCTTGAATGCGGGAGGTCATGGGTTCTAACCCCGGCTGAGTCACACCAAATACTTTAGAATTATTACTAACAGCTGCCTTGATTGGCGCTCAGCAGTTAGGTTTCAGTGTTAGGACTGGTCGGCCTGGTGTTAGGATATTGTAAATTGGTGGGAAATCATGCCAGTACTAGACTTCACTATAAAATGTCACACTGTAGACATCGTAGTGATATGACCGAAAAATGAATATAGCTACGTTAAAAATCTAAATCACACTCACACACATCTCGAAGAGAAAACGGCACTCATTCTTCACTAGTCTTTCAAATGGACAAATTAATAAAATGACCAAATGATAAGCATTGTAGTAAGCCGTGCACACTATGTATAAATAGTGATACCTTTGTTCGAATGTGTCCGTATTAAGAAAACTTTTTAAACGTATTTTTTATTTCCTTATATATTACTGGCACCCCTACCCTCCTTTTCGCCAGGAAAAAGTAACACAGGTAATTAATCTTAGACACTAATTAACTGTTACAGTTCAACATTGGTCTATTTCTGTTTGAGGGCATTTTGTATTTAGTAGGTATGTTGTCTACACATTTGCTTAGATTCATTTCTTTAATGATATGTCTCTTGATAGGATGTTTTCTGTCTTCATGTGAAGTCTTCACTTCAATTAATTTTTGCGGAATGCAGACTCTTGTGTTTGTTTGTAGTCTTCTTAAATCTGCACATGAAAATGATTTTATTCTCTCGAGTAAAATACTTGTCTATGGATTAAGATTGCCCACATAGATATGGCAACATTATGGAGAGTGAATCCCTGCTCTGTACATATGAGAGTGCAAACGGTTAGGTATATGTTTTGCAATCGTAAATATGGGTATAATATCACTTCCCGTATAAAGCATTGCACATAATAAAGAATTGGTGTAAATGTTAAGGCATAAAAACATGAATATCAGAAATATATAAATACTTTAAGAGAGGTACTATCTCTACGTACGTTATTTAAGTGCCACGTACAGTCTTATTCAATACTGTAAATCAAGATGTCAGATGTCCACTTATAAAGGTCATATGTGAAATTAGTTATCCAACTTGATTTAAAAGCTATGTATATCGTCATTAATGCAAACATGATAATATGAATTACTGCATAATTAAACTGTCTCTGTATTTTCCTTCCGGTTTAAATGTTAGGACTTTGCCCAATGCCCCATCACATTATTAATTTTATTCTAATCTTGTCTTTTATGGGGTTTAATGTCTGTTTGTAGCTGCCACAAGTTCTTGATTATATGTACAGTATAGTTGCATGTTGACTAGCACAATGTATATAAATTCGATCATGATATTTAATTTGTTTGTTGCTTCGGCATGATGCATATTGATTTTATTTTGGCTGCACACATTGTAGTAACGACAACTTAGCGTCATAACAGCCTGAATAGTGGCATTTCACATAGTATAATAGTCTGAAGTATAGTATACATTTGCTTGTTGTGCATGTACGGATTTTGTGCGTATTTGATGATGTTTTCAAAAATAGGAAATATGTTAAGTCTTTACTCTATTATAGCATAAGTTGAAGCTTTAAACCTTTCAGATATTTAATATTTGATATATTTGTATACATGTACACAATCTGCATTCATCTCTCTTTAAACTACGCTCTATATGAAGCAATGGCCCCTTTACATATGTAGTTTCTTAAGCTATCACTACTGTCATAGGCACTATCTGGAGTTATCTCTCTTACTCCATGAAATTTCATTTTGATCTTGTATGTGTTACTCCCACTATGACCATTATGGTCATTACATTTGTTTGCTGCTTCGTCATGATTCATTATGCCTTTGCATTGATTTATACTAGCATCTTAGCATCAGCAACCTTTTTCCTAAGAACAATCTAAATATGTATGTGCCGTGTTTGATTGTTTTCCAGCATCCCATTGAAATTGTATCATTTGTCATAACAAACTTAAATGTCCCATAATTTTAAAGCATACACAGAAATATACTTTTATACAGGTAATCCCTGGAGTTATCTCCCTTCATATACATGCACTTGGTAATGTTTAATTATTAGTTTATTTTTACCTGCTGTGTGCGGAAATAAATGTGTTGCTTTCAGTATCATTCATTATTTGTTTGATTCTCTTTCTCTGATGATTGCATTTGCCGTGCTCTAGTAACCTGAAATCTTTCGTTCTTGTTTTTTTTTTTGTATTTTTTTTTACCATCACAAGTTAATGATATAAACAAATACTCAGTAACATGCAAACAAATTTGTTAGTTTTTATCCTTTGTTTGAAAATCATTTGTAGTACAAAAATGAATGGTTTTAAACATAATGCATCAAAGTGGTTGTTGAAACAGATAACTCTTTAACATTATGGAATTAATCATGTTATGTATATGTAATTTAATTCTTTGTGTGATAGTTTTAAATTCTTTGTTATATAAATTTGCTTTCATTTAATTTTAATTTAATTATTAGTTTTCATAGGATTTGATATTTTCTTTCAGTAAATTATGTTTATTTAAAGCGTGAAACCTATTATAGAAGCAATATTTTTAGCTAAACTAGTTCGTCGTGGGTTTAGACGTTCGAAAACAGGATGCTAATATGATTTGTCGGTATCAAGGCCATATTCTGCTTGATTGATCACTATGTGTAGACAACGTTTATAAATAATTGGCTCTTAATTTGGGGTTACACATGGCGTATGTGATAAATATCTTGTAGTAAGAGACCACATGACCTATTTCGTGTTGCTTGAATTGATTATTTGGAGTTTAAGTACGCATTCATAATATCGTTCTGAGAGTTGTTCGTTATATCTTATAGGAACAAGGTGATTTTTAATTGTTGTCAGATTGTTGTTGAATTTTAATTTTGATATGTTTTTGTTTTTAAAAATTCATTCTCTTGAAGACTAAACAAGTGTACATTTTTAAGAAAAGATCGGTGAGAAAGTAAATCACTTGCAAATTTATTCAGGATTTTTTTTACGGAAAAACGAACTGTGATTCAACTCATGGTCTGTCCCTATAAGGATACACATCATACGACGTCATCGCTGCCATATTGGAATATCGTGTGGATACGAACCTGGATATCATTAGAGCTGTTTAGTGATAGGACTTGTATTTTTCACCCTTAGGATTAAACTTTAGATTATATTCACTAACCTTGTTTTGTTGAAATATACAACGATTGCTGGCTTTCACTCTTTTCTTTGTTACTGAATACGAGCCTCTGTCACGTAACAATCATAACGTACTTCAATAGCCCCAAAACAATATAGCTTGCCTATGTTTGTTTGGCATGTAAGGATTCCGCTTGAATGGCATGAATTTTCATATCCATGATAGATATGAATGTATTTTGCAAATAATATACCTTATTAAAATGCATATTAAGAAATTTATTATTGTCAAATACCATAGACAGGTATATACTTTCATATACCTACCCTAAGAACTAAACACCTTTCTTCATACATTTAATGACCGGCAAATATGAATTTCTGACCATTTATAATATGCCAACATGATTTAACCTTTAGTTGCGTTAATTTTCATATTTTAAGCAGAAGACAATGACAATATCTAAACTAGAAAGATGGGTATGCATTAAATCTATCACCTTTTAGTGGACGTTAAGGAAGATTTGATGAAAACCACAAACGATGAAAAGATACAAGCATTACGACAGCTTCAAAGACAATATTATTTCTCTTCACAAAATACAAAGAAGACATAAGTATATCCTTTTCCGATTATTAATTTTTGAACACAACCTACTAGGAAGGATTAGTATCGCGTTTATACAAATAAAATTTAATTGTTTTGCCTACTGTTCGATTGCTATTTTAGCGAGAGGATACATATCACATTTTGCGAAAACCATTGACCGGTCTAACTCGATATTAATTTTTTAAATATTTTTCTTGACTGATCGAATCGTAATGGTTATTGTATTTTAATACAAGCTCATCTCAGAATGTTTCAAGATAATCAATGTATTTGCTGTTATATGATTTGATAAGGGAGAGTTTTATTCTATCAAATGTGCTCAAGCAACCGAAATTTCATCATTAAATTAAACTGATAATTGTTTGTCATTAAACTTTAATATTTTCATTTTGCTACAAACTCTATCGGCTAATGCTAAATGTTTGAATATTATTTCTAATATTAGACAAATTTAAATAAGTATGTCACCCGTACTGGTGTAGTGTCCAATAGCTAGTGTATTAATTCCGTCCTTGCATTATCTCTCATTATAAAAATTACATAGTTCAAGTTCCATAACCTATTTCATGTTTGTGACAATTTATTCTCACAATATTTGTTTTAATACAAATAGTGCAATTGCTTTAAAATCAACAAATTTCATACATTTCTTTACATACCCAGAAGGAATACATTTTGCATTTTGTCAATTTATTTTCAAAAGATTTTACTTCATAGTTCAACAAATTCCTTAATGGAGACAGACATAAATTTATCTTTCATTATGGCCAATAACTTTTTTATTTGCACCATCATGAAATCCACTACTTTTTGCATAATGCGATACATGAAATAGTTCACGGTATTTATAACTGTCTTGATATAAATCCTCACATTTTATTTTATAAACTAGTGAATCCGTATCAGTAAATAGAAACTCCAAGTCTGGCGACTGTTTTTTGGTAAAATTATAGTGAAAGGCGCACTGCCTTGCACTTTGATACATCAGGTCGGCTGCACGAACTTAAATTGGTTTATTTTTCTTTCGTCGTTGAATTACAACAATATTTTTATTAAATATTTTAATACTGACAGAACCGTCATCGTTAACGTATTTATTCAGTGATTTATATCGTTTACAGTTAAATATTGACTCGCTTTAAGATATTCTACATCGTCGTACCGATAAAAAAATTGTTCATCAACCTGTAAAGATTTTATCAAATTCGATCTTAGTAATAGCACGATGTTTGGCACTTAAGTCAATGTAATCTGACATCCACATCGACTGATTAAATTTTAACGCGTGAT